TTAAACTCAGTGAATATTCAACAGAGGAGAAGGAGGGGGGAGGAGGACAAGAAGAAAGCAAGCTGGATGAAATTTCTGTGGCTGGATCATCCAAATGTATCAGAGAAACACCTCTGCTTGGCAGTGTCATATGCCCTGAGGGTCCTCCCGTCCAGCAGGAAAGATGGCCTGCCTGTTTCTTTAGCATTTGGATGCCCTGATCACCATCCTAAAGAGACAACTCTAACCTCAGAAATGTCTAGGACAAAAAAAAAAAAATGACAATGGCACAAACCACTCCTATCTGCATTTGCAGTTGACCTATGTGTGAAGCAAACATTTTGTTCTTTCTGCTCACATGGACGAGGGGAAGGGCAGAATGATAACATCTGGAGAAATCAAAGCAAGCAACAACCGCATGCCTTCCGAGCCCACTTGTTTGTAGAAGGAGCCCAGTGGCAGAACTGGAGTGGGACCTGAGACCTTAGTGCATATTGCGCTGGGCAAGCACAGCCCAAAGCATGTGCCCTCTGCATTGCACCTGACGCCAAGGCCAGCTGTGCTGGTGAGATAGGAATATATTAATTTCCTGGACACCTGGTGTGCTAGAGAAAGATTAACACACGACAATATGTGAAGGGACTCAAATTTCTCTCTGTGAGGTACAGAGAAGGCTTGTTTACATGCTGGTAAGAGGTAGAGTCAAACTCAGAGAGAATGATGTTACAATAAACACAACATCGAGCCCCGGGGGCCTGCTTGAGTATTTCAGGGCAGCAGCAGGACATTTCCTCACTGGAGAGGGGCACAGTTCGAAGTTGGCGCAACCAAGGAGAAGCCTGACCCATAGGTTGGTCCCTTTCTAAAGTTAACTAACTCTCACCCTTTGACTCTTGGTCCTGAGTTGTGCTGAGCTGGCTGCAGACACTCTCAACAGCACTTGGGACATTGCACTGGACTTACCAGGGCTGCAGTCTCCAGAATCATGCCCTCGGTGGATGACATTTTAGAGCACATAGGGGAATTTCACTTTTTCCAGAAACAAACATTTTTCCTCTTAGCTCTGTTCTCAGCAGCCTTCACCCCCATCTACGTGGGCATTGTCTTCCTGGGCTTTATCCCCAACCACCGCTGCTGGAGCCCTGGAGTGGCTGAGCTGAGCCAGCGATGTGGCTGGAGCCTGGCCGAGGAGCTCAACTACACAATGCCGGGCCTGGGGGCTGCGGACAAAGCCTTCCTTCAGCAGTGCATGGAGTATGAGGTGGACTGGAACCAGAGCACCCTCAGCTGCATGGACCCTCTGTCCAGCCTGCCTGACAACAGGAGCCACCTGCCACTAGCCCCCTGTCAGCACGGCTGGGTGTATGACACACCTGGCTCCTCCATCGTCACTGAGGTAAGTGAGTTCAGGTTTTGGAACAAAAAAAGACAAATAACTGAGCTTTTCTTAAGGAAAAAACCAGGAAAGCCTTCATTCTTACAATTGCCTAGACATGCTCTTTGGACTTAATGTATGTTATAAAATGTTAGATTCCAAATGAAAATATGCAGCTTCTAATTTGTGTAGGGTATGAGTGGATTAGTTAAAACTGCCTCAGATTCTGACAATGATTCTAGTTCATACAAGTCTCAACAGTAAGAAACAAGCAAAAGACTTGATGCCAGGAAAGGGAATGTTTTCAAGCTTTCTCTTTTTCTGGAAGCCTTACCTCTCCCTCTATTCTGCCATCACACAAGTGACACTGGAAAGCATGTGGCATTCACTTGAATGGTTCTTTACTGTGTGAATCACTGTGCTTTTCTCTTGATGACTGTTTTTTCCTCTTTAATTTGCTCGATGTCTAAGTGAAACCATTTGGACTGGGGATTATGCTATGGCACAATTATTTTTATCAAAAATTAAAATCATAGCAAAATCTAATTGTGAAGCTTTATTCCATTAAGAGAAAAGAATTCATGGACATGTTTATTGGAGGCAAAGAAAAATGGAAGAGTAAAAACTATCTTGAAAATAAAGTGAGCTCTCCCTGTTAATTGAAAGGACCACTTGTGTAATGTGAAGATGTGCTATGCATATGAACATTGGGGCAGAGGAGTCTCATGTGAAAGATTGGAGTAGTTGTGTGCAATATAGAGGTTCATGGACTTAACACCATATAAGTCTAAGAGGCTCTACAGTATGACTAATCTCATCTCTTTGTACAGAGAAGAGGAAATTGAGCCCCAGAGTGGAACAGAGTTTTGTGCCAGCCACAGATTGAGTGACAGCAGGATTAACTCTAGAAGCTAAATGTTCTGATTTCTGAGCCAGCACCTACTGACCCTGCTACTTATCTTATTCCAGATGAAAACAAATGCAACAGCCATGAGCAGAACACTCTGAATCCCTTACTGTGAAAAAGTTGGCTAAGAAATGCTCAACAACCCAGTTTCCTCCTGGCTGCACATGTGTTATGTCCACACAGCTATTTACCTCTTTTTATTAAAATTAGGAAGGAAAAATGGACTCATTTATAGGTGGGATCATTCTGTGTGTTCAGCTGATTGGCGGCCACTCTAATTTAGCCAAATGACATGCTGCAAGGTGGGATGCTAGATGGATTTTTGGACCAAGTGTTCTGGTGGCATAAAGAACACTAACATAGTCAAGAAACAGTTGGGATGTTGTCACTGAGCCACACCAGTTCAGTTTGAAGAATATTTAGTGAGCTCCCTGGCTGAGTTGTGTCTAACAGGATTATGCTTTCTTTCCCTCCTGGGCTGGAACATGTCTCACATCTGGACAGTTCAACCTAGTGTGTGCCAACTCCTGGATGCTGGACCTGTTTCAGTCAGCTGTGAATGTAGGGTTTTTTATTGGTGCTGTGGGCATCGGCTACCTAGCAGACAGGTAGGTGAAACACCTGTAGGGCAACTTTGAAGTCTTAGATTTCTTCCACCACTTTGATAATAATGACTCATGCCTTTATTTTCAAATGCTCTAGGGTCAGAAAGAGATGTTTCAGCACTAAGCAGCAATTTTTTTCCTGTAGGCTATCCAACAGTTAAGAGCCAGGAAGGAAAGTAAAAGATGATTTAATCCCTTTTGTAATTCCCATTTTATTCTTTGCCCTCATTGCCCCCAACTTGGTCATGAGCCTTTAGGGCCTATGAACTTCTTCCCATCCTCTGCTATCCCTCATGCACCAGGGCCCTCAACACCAGGCCAAGCATAGAATATCCACATTGCCTATCAGCCTGCAGACTTCCTGAATTGGGTTCCTGGGGCCACATGGGATTGTGTGTACAGAATCTTGCATATAATGAGTCTAATGAAAGTGGAACTGGCCTGTGTACACCAGGAGAGGTGCAGACTCTTCCACAAAGCCAGCATCCCTGCAGAGAAGAAAAGAAGCCATACACCAATTGTCCTTTCAGAGGACATGTCTCCATGTCTCCATATTCAGTGTTCACACTAACCAAGCCAGCCCTGTATCTGAGTCACCCAACATTTTAGAATCCCACACTCACTTATATTTCCCTAGAACATGAGTCTCTGATCTATTGATGACAAACTTGATATTTTGGGGAGTCCCCAAAAGGGAAAGGAAAAGAATCATTTGCTTTATCCCAGATAAGCACTTTAGCTAACTTGGCCACTCAGGCCAATTACTTAATATTCATAACCCTGACTATGTATGTACTGAGTGTTTGCTAGGTGCTGGGCACTGCATGGAGATTTTGGACAGACAATTCTCTTTAATCATCAGCCACCTGATAAGATAGAAATATATATATGCAAGTATACAGACAGTATGATCAAACAATATGATGAATACTTTAATTAAAAATAAATTTATTGCAGTAAAAGAATCATTTCCATGAAGCCTCCCCAAAACACTCCCCCTCACTCAAACATGCTTATCCCATGGTTCTTGCCACATTCTGAAACAGTTCTGGAAGTCTTCTCTCCTGAGAGTCTTTAGTTGCACCATCATGGCTGCCTGGGTATCTTGAATTGATTTAAAACATTTATCTTTCATGGTCATTTTGGCTTTGGGAAAGAGCCAAACATCACCAGTGACAGATCCAGTGAATAAGGTAGATGAGGACACATGGTGATGTCTTCACAAAACTGCTTTTCTGTTGGATGGCATTCATCAGTAGAAGTCACTATATTTCTTTTTATCAGACTGGGTAACGGCAATCAGGAAAGAATGTCTACTTCAGAAAGGACTCCTTCCAATGCTGCTTCAGAAAGTGAGAAGACTGATGAGATAAATGTGTTTAAAGTGAGGGGGGATGTTTTGAGAGGGATTCATGGCAATGTGATTTTTAGTGAAATAAATTTTTGAAAATCTCAGCATACATTATTTTTGACCTAGTTATATATAGTATGTAACTATATGACTTAATTATATATTTATGCATAAAATACATATTTAACTTTGAAATAAATGTAAATATACTTTGTACTCATTACCCTCCTGTACCCTCCTCAACTGCAACTATGATATGATCAGACCTGTGAGTATAATTAAAAAGGTAGGCAAATATTTTCTCTGCTTGTATGATATTCTCAGGCCTACTAAAAGCATCAAATGTATTAGCAGTCCACAAGGAGAGCTCAATGCCATTACAGGGCTTGGGCCCACCTGGCAGCCCAGGAGGAAGGGTTGTAGCTGAGACTCTAGGCTAAAGGGCTACTCTATCATCACCATCACTGTGCTTGGTAACCATCTGCTCAGCCTTCCTGACAGGGCCCTCCCTGAGGCTTGCTGTGGGAGGCTTGTGAGGTGGACAGAAAGGTCATTTTTTTTTAACTGTTATTGCCCCAGAACCAAGGACAGCTGTTTGGAGTTGGTACAGTAAGTCAAGACAGATTCATTGACAAAGGACACTCAGGGTCCAGCCTTGCTCCCTGAGGCAGCTGGCTGGCAGCTTCTTGTGCCCTGTGAGCTGAAGTCTCACAAACCTACCCCACTCCAGGGAAGCACAGGAGCTCAGAAGGTAGGCTGCAGACATCAGTTAATTATTCTCATCCCACTCAAAGAGTAGGAGGCAGATTTCAACTCTCTCCTGAGGGTACATTCCTGAGTGATAATGCCAAGTCAATTATTCTCCTTCTTAAATGACTTCATTGTTCTGCTCTTGCAGGGGAATTCTCCCCTGGAAAACTGATCATTCAGTATTCCTACCCAAAACACAGTGCACTGTCTTCATTTTCTCTTTCTCTCTCTCTCTCCCTCCCTCCCTCCCTCCCCCCCAGATTGAACCCAGAGTCTTTGCAGTGAGCTATATTCCCATCCCATTTTTATTTTTATTTTAAGACAGTCTGGTTAAGTGGCTATATTTCCCAGTCTGCGATCCAATTTGCAATCTTTCTGCTTCAGCCTCTCAGAGTGTTAGGATTACAGGCATGTGGCACCGTGCTCAACTTCTTTTTCTTAAGCTGTTTGGAGGTTTTTTTTGATCATGGACCCTTCTGTTCTATTTGTGCACGCATGTAAGAGGCCACAAGGGGACCAGGAAAGTAAGAGTCTTCATGGGGTTCGAAAAATATGAAGGAATTTATCTTTTGCATACTTAATACCTGTAAGTTTCAGGTTTTATTTAAGAATTTGGTACAAGAATCTCATGGAAACCCATTTTATCCACACATCAAATAATTATTCCATAAAATATATTGTGTTCCATGAAGGACTTTTAAAATATACTCTAATAGCTAATTATGGTGTCTTTTTTAAGAAAATCAGGAAGACAGTGAATAGGATGTAAATAAGAATACTGGGAAGCTAGGAAGGAAGGAAGGAAGGAAGGAAGGAAGGAAGGAAGGAAGAAAGGGAAGGAGGAAGGAAGGATTTAAAAATGAGTCTTAACAGCAAGTCTACTTCTCAAGGGCTGTCTTTGCAAAAAAAGGAAGGTCACATGATAGAGAATTTGAAAATAAAACTTTCATAAGATAGCTAACTTATTCCTTCATCTATACCTCCTAAGAAAGGATTTTTGCATATCACCTGATACACAAAAAAGCAATCCTTCCTCACTTCTGGGTTTTTCATTCTCATGATAAGTGCTAATAAGTGCTAGATTTAGTGGCATGTCCATAGATGTTTAACAACTGGATCTCTGCAGGGCCATGATCCATTGCAACCTACTGAAGTAAAGTCACTGGACAGAGGTGGTTAGAAATTTGCACTGTTACACAGCATTTCCACCACCCCACTACAGTAGACACAAATATCAAGAGCACAGATGGTCAAATGTAGTCAAATAATTAGGAAGCAGTACATTTTGCATATTTAGTAACACTTGTTTTTAATGTAACGTATTTTGTTGTAAGTATATATAATTTAATTTTCAATAATGGCTGTGTTTAACAAGTAGCTTGCAAATTTTCTGAGTCTAATAATTATCTCCCATGAGCCAATATTCACTGTTTCTATGTCTTGTTGGACCCAGATCAAAGCAGAAGCAAAGTCCCAGTAGTTTGTATCCCAATATATCCAACAGCACAGGATCTTCCAAACCAAGTTTTCCACTGACTACTATGGGCAAGTTGTTTCATTGAGCATCCTCACTTGTCACTATTTCATTTAGGATTACAGCAGCTTTTAAGGTAGATTTTATTATCCATCACTTACAGAGGAAGAAACTAAGGTACAGTGAAATTAAAGCACTGCTTCCTAGATACTAATGTGCCTACAAATCACCCGGGGTCCCTGTTAGAAGTCAGGGTGGGATTCAGTTACTCTGATAGGCCAGATAGTGCACATCTTTAACCAGCCCCTAAATGATGCTTGTCCATGCCCTCCCACTTCACTGAGAGTTCTGGGCCACATATCAAGTAGCGAGCACCAAAAGGAATTATAACATTGGCCGTACTGGGTGTCCACCCCTCCTTTCCTGTTTTATCTGTTTTTCATGTAATCATTTAAATTGATCTATTGGAGGGAAGGGGTCTCCAACCACTATCCTAGACCACCAAAATTTCTTCTAGTAATGCCTTAGTTTTTTGTTTTAAATAGTATTGTATCCTTAATTGAAACATGTTCCCCAGTGAATTTGCTCTACATCCTGGATTGTGTTTCATTGCTTAAATTCCCCAATGATAAATATTTCTTCTTCCTTATCCAAGAATTTCATTCATTACAGGAGCATCACTGCTATCTTGAGTGCCTAAATCAGCCATGAATGCTGAAGAATTACCACTTGAGCTAATATTTATAGATTATAAAATCTAAGGATAAAAGAAAGGGTTTAAGGGCCAGGGATTTAGCTCAGTGGTTCCGGCACCTGCCTCACAAGTGCAAGGTCCCAAGTTCCATCTCCAGTACCAAAAAAGAAAAAGAAAGAAAGAAAGAAAGAAAGAAAGAAAGAAAGAAAGAAAGAAAGAAAGGAAGGAAGGAAGGAAGGAAGGAAGGATTTAAGGCAGGACAATGTTAAGGGGGTTTAAATTAAGTGACATGTGACTATGGAAGATTTTGAATTAAAAGCCAAGGGGTTATATATTTACAACAGAGAGCAATTAACAGAGAATCAGGAAATGACATGGCCAAAGAGTTTTAAGTTTAGTAGTTTATGTTAATTATCAATGTGACTGCTTGAACTTTAAATTTCAGGCTTAAAACATTAACAATCTAAAATAATTATTAATGATTATCTTAATTACTTTGCTGAGATAAGATGCCTGACACCTAAAGTTAGTTAAAGGAGGAAAGGTTTATTTCAGTTCACAGTTTGTAGAGGTTTCAGTTCAAAGTCAGCTGACTCCAAGGGAGGGTGGCGTGGCAGAAGGGCATTGCAGAGGAGAAACAGTTCGTGACAGGCAGAAGGCAGGAAGGCAGCAAAGCAGTGAAATAGCAAGCAGCAAGTAACAAGTGACCACGGCAGCCCTCTTTCTGTCCTTTGTATTCTGTCCAGACTACCCACCCTTAGGGCAGGTAGCACACACCCAGGCAGGGCCTTCCCATTATCTACTCTCAGAATCATCCCAACTCATCAATGGACTAAGTCAGTAATCATATACCCTTGGTCCCAGCATCACACACTCCAGATCCAGCCACCCTGAAAAGCCTCACCTATGACCACATGAGGCTTTGAGGGGACATCTAACAAGCCATAACAATTACGTTATGGGTAATTCAAATGATTAATTAGTATTTGAAATAGTAACCAGAACATTCTTGTCTATTCACAAAAGTAGCAATTATAAAACCCTCATCCACCATTAAGATAGACAATACTAGTAATAAATATTTCTTCTAATTGAAGTGGGTAAAATGAAGACTAGATATAATGTTATTTTCTGTGAAATATTTTCAGAATACCCAGAGAGCAAATTAGGATGTCTTTTAGAACACAACTAGGAAGACATGATGAGAATGTAAGTGGGTCCCAGGTGCATTCTCTGACAGCCAGCTGTTTCAGTCCATGTTCTGTTACTGTGATGTAATACCTGATGTTGAGTAACTCTACAAAGAAAAGAAGTTTATTTAGCCCATAATTCTGGAGGTTTGATTGTATGGTACCACATCACCTCAGCTCTGGTGAGGATCTCCTAGTAGATGGTATTATATGGTGGAAGCATTTAATAATAGAGCTCTAGTAACTCTTACAAACATGTGTAGTGTACTTTGTTGCTTTATGTCACATTTTAAGTTGAGCATTAAGAGAATCCAGTATTTTAATTGTAACTCTGACAGTACTTCAATCTAGAGATCTGTTGCCATTTTTGTCTTCAGTGAAATTTTTGTCCCCAAGAAAGACAGGATTACAATTTTTCTAACAGATTGAGTTGGTGCAGTTTCTTGGTTATCAAAAATATTCTTATAGCTTTGGGACTTTGACTTGATGAATATTTATGGTGAGTGGAAAAGCACACCATGCTGTACAATCTCAGCCATGTTATGTATGCCCTCACAGAACCTAGAAGTACACATCCAAAACAGCTGTTTAACACTGCAAATGACTTTATTCTTTGCTTCTTGTGTTTTTGTTTCCTATAATGTACATGTTAACTTTTCAAAACTAAAGATTATTTTTAAAGCTCAAAAAAAAATGTTGGGAACATGTATGAAAGGAAGAGATCACGTCACAAGACAGGAAGCCAGGGAGTGATTCAAGGATCAACTTGCTCTTATACAACTCAATCTCTTGAGAACCTCCTTAATCCCCTGTGAGGGCAGGGCCCCTAAAAACCTAAGGATCTCCCACTAGGCTCCACCTCTAAGCAGTTCCCCATCTCCTAACACTCCCACAATGAAGACTAAGTTTCCAAGACATGTATCCTTGGGGGACAAAACATCCAAACCTTAGCACTAGCTTTGCAAACAGGAAGAAAGCAAGGAAGACTATGCTGAGCTCCTTGTCCCTAAAAACTTACTTAATCCCTTTTCAGGTCAGATAAGGCTTTTCCACATGAAGAAATTAAGTATGGTTGAATAACTTGCCCAACACCATAGTAAGTGGTAAGACCATGATTAAACCCAGGTTGCCAATTTCTTGCTCTACTCTAGGACAACTCTCCAAAGTCCCTAAACCAGTGAAAGCTAAGTTTCCTTAAATCTAAAGTATGGAGTTTGTCATACCAGGATGCTCCATAACAAAAGCACTTTGGAATATCAATATGTGAAATCAAAGACATAGACAGGCAAAGAGCACAAAATTTCAAAAGTACTGTTGAAAATGAATGGGCATGTATACTGAATAGCAAATTTTGCTTTTCCTAAAGCAAAGGTGGGCAGTTAGTTGAGACTGTTAATCCAAAAAACCCAGCTCATAGGATGATGTAAGACCTAACTAGGCCCTTGGGGTATTAGCATTGGGTAACAAACCCTTCTTGAATGACTGCCACAGTGTGGAGCTGAGAAGAATCTTCAGCCCTGGAGAGAACAAAACTCATTGTACTCAATTTTATACTTAGGATACCAACAAAAGCTCCTAAACGAAACCAAAGTCAGGAACTCTTTTTGTGGATAAAACTGCTGACTGAAATTTAGAGTTAATTTCTGCTTTTGATTAGATTTTCCATAACTTCTATGAATTTTCTACAACTTTTATGAATCAAATTTAATTGTATTTGCTTTTGCTGTTTATCTCTCCACAGGTTTGGCCGTAAAATCTGCTTCTTGATAACAATTCTCATAAATGCTTCATCTGGGGTTCTCATGGCCATTTCTCCAAACTATACATGGATGTTACTGTTTCGCTTGATCCAAGGACTGGTCAGCAAAGCGGGCTGGTTAATCAGCTACATCCTGAGTAAGAATGCTTGCAGTTGGAGCTGCGGGAGCACAGGGACTTGGCTGCCAAAGTAGAGTCAGGTGGGGGTGGAAACAAGGACACAGCTTCAAGACAATGTTGGGAGATTTATTCTGTATCCAATGAATTCTTTTAAATTGTCTAATCAACTCACTCTGCATTCCTCCTATGAAAAGAAAACAATGAAGGCAGAAACAAGGGTAAACATCATGCCTCCCAGATTCCTACATAACTCTTTTGGAATTTTTGTTTCCTGTACCCTGGAGTGTTATGTAGAGAGGAAATCTAGCCCACCAGGCCCATTCAGATAGAAGATGCAGTGATGAGAGATATGTTTGGTGTATAAAGGACTTTATTGCTCTACATTCATCCATTCTAGTAAACCACAATAATCCTCAATTTGTGTACAAAGAAATGGCATACAAATAACTGATGGACATAGATAGGTCCAGCACCTCAGCAAGCCATTTGTAGAATCAGGAATATAATTTACATACTACTCATTAGTAGCCGGAGTATGGTTAAAATCCATGGACTGTGAGAGCATATCTGAATTCCAACAACAAAGCATCTTTTGAGCAATATTCAGAAAAATCAAGGCCATAATTAGGGCTTGGAAATTAACTCTCATCATTACTTTCTCTTTGGTTACATTTGAATAGCATCTACACATAGGGAAAGGGACATTTTGAAGTTATACTACTTACAATAACAATAATGAAACTCTCTTTAGACATGAAAGAACTAGAATATGTATGTGCTTACAAATTTTGTGACAGGAAAAGGAGATGATTCCTAATACTATTCCTGCCAGGGCAGGCATCTAAAAACAACTTTGGTCAATGAAGGAGTTCATGTATGCAGTTATTCAAACAATAATTTGGTTTCTAGAATGTGCAGTATATAGAATTTAATTGTGTACATGTATAGTTCAGCAAAAGTTAATCTCAGCCTCCTCCCATTCATTTCCTCTCTAGTCCCCCTGAATGTCCTCGAGTCTTTGACGTGTACCTTGTTATTCCCCCTCCTCCTCCTACCAACCTTCTCCAAAACTTGTCCATGACCGCAACCACTTTGAAAGACATTTGTATTATTGAGCACTGGCTTGCTTTCTTTCTTCCTTCCTTTCTATCAATTTATTAAGCTGTTTTTAAATACTTCAAATAAGTCAGTTATTTATGGAACTATTTTAGGGTACATTTCTGTTTGGTTTATAAATAGTTGAAGACTTTAGCATATTTGCCAAACATTTAAAGCCAAAATTGTGATTTGTGGAACATCTGGAACTTCAGTGCTACTATGTCTGTCTTATAAAAACAACTATCCCCTCCTTCCATGTACATGGACCTCATACATCTGCCAGAGTGCAGTCATGGGATGGGAAAAAGCTGATAGTTATACCATGTGAGTGAGTGTTGTGCTGGTGAATTGGCTCTTGGAAAGTAAAAAGCCCTGATTTGCAGTGTTTTCCAACTTCCCAGGTTTAAATACTTCCACCATGGCTGATTTCAAGACAATAACAAGTTTAACAACCAGTTTCCAAAATTCCTGAGAATTTGAAAATGTGCTTTTGCAGCCAGTACTTCCTGTTTCCAGCCCACTTTTCACTTTCCAGCCTTTAATGCAAATAAACAGGATTGCAAAGGAAATGTTTACCCTGGAAGAGAACAAGTTATAAAAAGATGTTCATTTATATAAAAGTTGTCTACAGTGTAAATTTAATGTTTGATACATTTATTTTGATCTTGAGTTATTACTGTCTTATTATTCTAGATGAAAATTTTGCACTTAGCTGAAATACAATTACATTTGACTGAACTTATTCTATAAATCGTACATTTTTGTTCATCTTGTCAAGTCTTTAATTTTAAATCTAGTATGGGGTTACAGGATTTCTATTAACTAATACAACAGCAATAACTTTAACAAAATAAGCCTCAAAGAACATTTTTAAAATTTCATGAAGTTGTATAGAAAATCCTAGCGCTTGCCCCATACTTTTGAGTCTGGCATTCTGGTTTCCATATAGCTGGACAGCCACTCATAGTGGTGCTGAAATGTGTTGACCTTTTGTATTCTCTCTGCAGTTACAGAATTTGTTGGGCTGAGCTATCGGAGAACAGTGGGGATTTTTTACCAAGTCTCTTTTACCATTGGGCTCCTGGTGCTAGCAGGAGTGGCATATGCCATTCCTCACTGGAGGTGGCTGCAGCTTGCCGTCACTCTGCCCAACTTCTGCTTCCTGCTCTATTACTGGTAAGTCCATTTGGAATGAAAAGGAAATATATTAAAGTCATTTATTTTGTTAAAATCTGTACACTCTGCTTCTAAATTCCAGGGTTTCCTTCATATTTCAGGCCTGTTTCACAGGAACCCTAATTCCAAGTTTCAGAGATAAAAATCATATGCTCCCCCATTGGGAATCAAATGTCTTTTTACTTTGGGCAGAAGATTTTTGTGGCCTGGATCTTACATTTCAGATCATTTATTTGGTGTTTAAATTTGCTTCCAGCAACTGTGGTATAACTTAGACTGCAAACCCTTAAGAGATCAGCAATCTTGCTCTTGCTATTCTATTCCTCCTTGGTGGAAGCTTTAGGATAGAGAAAGCCCAGCATGGCACTCATGCCACCACTTCTCCACACCCATCCCCAAAACAGACATTCTAAATCAATCACAGAATTCATTATTCCAGTAAGGCCCACACGGCACTCCAGGACCATACCAATCAATCACCATTACCAAAACAAGTTAAATATATTTCCCAAGGGAAACACACAGAATATGGCAGAAACTATTAGAAAACCATGGCATGAGGTTACCTGAAATAAGGCAGACAACATGCTGGGTTACCAGACCATATCCCTCTCCTGTGCAGGAAATCCACTTATTTTTTTTCCTCCTGGATATATATATATATATCAGCTTATTTTTCCTGTAATTGTCTTGCCTAAAAATTAAACATCTCAACCCTTCCCAAGAGGCCTGTTTCTTGTCCCAAAGCCAGTAAAATTGTGTCCTAGCTCAAGATGCTACAACAAACCACATACTGGGTGCTTAAACAATGAACACTTATTTCCCACAGTTATCAGGGTTAGGAAGTCAAAGGGCAAGGTGATGGCCAATTTCTGTCCCACTTCACCCTTGCAGAAAGCCTCCTTCTCCTGTGTCCTCACATGACAGAAATTGAGTGAGGAAAGCTCTGATCTCACTTCCTTTTCTTTTAAGGACACTAATCTCATCATTAGTATCACCTCATCTCAAAGCTTCATCTAAACTCAATTACCTCCCAAAGGTCCCACCTCCATGTTCCACACTGGAGGTTAGGGCTTCAACTCCTGCAACCCTCAGTGAATATGTCCATTGTGCTCTGAGATTAAAATTCTCATCTTCCTTGTCTCTCTATGCTCATTTTTACTCCTCTAAATCCACCCTTTTGTCCTATTCCCATTAGGAATTCTTATTTCTCAGCTAAATTGCTCCAGTAGAGTCCCAGCTGCTCTTCTAGACATCTGCTTACTGTCCTCTGATCAATCTTCACATAGAAATTTTAAAAACCAGTTTCTCCATGTCACCACCCTGTTTAAAAGTCTCAAAATTTCATTCCCCTGTGAATAAAGGCCTAATGTTTCAGCCTGCCAGACAAGCCTGCCTGTTATTCAAGTTCTGGCCACCTTCGAGCACTTTTTACCACTTGTACTCAATGAAATCAAGTTGAAATTTTATATACAGTACTGCAAGCTTCATGACAGGGGTGCATTCTTGAAAGGCTATTTGAGATGTAGAGCAGGAAACAGGCTTCTGGAAGAAAGAATGGAGGGAGGAAGAGGTCAGTTAGAAACTATTGCAATCTTCTTAGCAAGAGAAGATAAGGGCCTGAACTAAGAGGCTGTGTGTAGAAAAAGGGGATATATATATATGTGTATATATACATATATATATATATATATATATATATATATATATATTTCTAATAAGGTGGCAATGGTGGAGTTTGGTGGCAGACCACACATGGAAGTCTAACAGGAGGTGGTATCCAGTAGAGGGCTGAGTGCCTGCATATTGGGTTGGGTGTCCAGAAGGTGGAGCAAGTTGGAAGGAATGTTGATGAACTGAGCTTTGAACACACCAAATTTGAGGTGCTGAAAGGAAGTCATGTGCAGATATCCAGAAGCCAGTGAAATTTAAGGATCTGGAATCACAGTAAATTTCATATATATATATATATATATATATATATATATATTTGCTGTTGCTATGGGGACAGATGAGCTCATTCAGAAGAAATGAATAGAGTTGGGAGAGAAAGGGGATAGGACCAGAATCCAAGAAATCACCAAGCTTTGAAAGCTGAGCAAAGGAACAGGAACTGAGACCAAAGAAGAGCAAGGTGGCACCATCCAAAGAGGAAAGGAGAATGTACAGATACAGAGGCGGGAATGGAAGCCACAGGTGATGGAGGCTCCAGCCAATCCGCAACCCCCAAAGCCTCCTCCAGTGCCTGCTCAGGCCCGGGATGTGGTGGGAATGCGCCTAAGCTGTGCATTCATCTCTGTAACCCTCGTGCATCACCAATTCTTGTAACCAACTGTTTGCCTGCCATTTTGTTACCTGACTGGCACAGTATGCTGTCAGCTTTTTGAGGTCAGGTACCACTGGGGCCCTGGGGTCCAGCTTTCTATCTCAGGCTCCAGTAGATGACTGTCTGGACTTTGCTTGAACTAGGATAATTTTTATTTTACTAAGCAAGCAACTTTACTATAGAACAAACCCAAAGCTTATATTCAGAATACTTTGGATTGAGCCTATGTTTCCACCCCTGTCATTTTTACCCAATGTTGCTAATTCTCCAAAAAGTTATTTTAATTTTTATTCTATCAAACATTTCTTTAGTGATTTGTGTTAGCTCAGAGTCCACCCTGACTCCCCATCTGTAGGCCACTTGGGTTCTTACCTACCCAGACCTGCTTCCCAAGTGCCTACCTCCTTAGCCGCCCCACCCCCACCCAGGCATCAGTGGCCAAGCTGACCCTGTGCTTCCTAAAGGATGGGCAATGGAGCTGCTAATGAGCACCTGATGTCACCTGGAAAAATGGCCCTCTAGTGTCACAGTATGTTATGGATTGGCTGCAGCTGAGCACAGTATGCTCCTGGTCCTGGCCTGAGTCTTAGCCGAGACGTTTTCCTGGCTATCTCTCCATGTTATTCCATAGAAACACCCACGCGGGTGCTGCTGAGCCCACCTTTCAGCAACTTCTCTCCTAAGCCAGGATCCCAGCCAGGGCTCCCCCCCCGCCCCGCCCCTTATACCACAGGGCTGTGAGACTGACCTGCCAGCTCCTTCTTCCCACTCCTCCACCTCCTGCCACTCCGCACCTGGCTATTTCAAGTGCCCAGTCCAGAGCTGATGCTTGGAGTCCAGTCAAGGCCTTGAAAGGGCTCCCTGATCCCTGTAGATTCTAGCTCAAATCACGCTGTCTGGCTTTTATGTCCTCCCACCATTTGGCCTCATATTCTTACCTCTTTCTTTGAGAAATCAGCTTTTGGTGCAATATGTATATCTATGAGGTGTGATCAAAATATACTGTGAATGCTTAAATTTAAAAGTTTATTGCTGGGTTTGGTGGTACACACCTGTAATCCCAGCACTCTGGAGGCTGAGGCAGGAGGATCACTGGGAGTTTGAGGTCAACCTAGGCTACATAGTGAGTTCAAGGCCAGCCTGAATTGCATAGCAAGAACTTGTCTCAAAAAAACAAAACAAAACAAAACAAAAATAACAAAAAATCTATTATAGTAAAAGATGCATCGTCCCTAATCCTCCAGAATATTCTCCCTTTCACTCCTTCACTTTAAACACACTTATCTCATCCTTCTTGCCACTTTCTGAAGCAGTTTTGGAAGTCTTCTTTTCTGAGTGTCTTTACTAGGTGTGATCAAAAATATGGTGAATGTTGATGTTGAGTGGCATCTAACAGCAAGGCAGACTTATACTTGACGGTTTTTTGGTGGGTTTTTTTGCTAGTGGGGATCAAGCTCAGGACTTTTCACTTGCCAGGCAGGAGGCAGCACCACTGAGCTAAATCCCTGGCCCTAGGCAGACTTGTAAAAACATTACAGTGTGTCTTCATTTACCTTATTCCCCACATCAAGCACCATGCAACTTCTGAATCTTTCCCAAAGTCAAAATGACCGTGAAAGATAAACATTTTGATCAATTCAGGACATCAAGACAGCCACAACAGTGCAACTATAGTCATGAAAGAGGGCTGCCAGAACTGCTTCAGAAAGTGGCAAGAATATTTAGATAAGCAAGGGAGAATATTTGAGGGAGATTAATGACCACTTATCTTTCACTGTAATAAATTTTTAAATTTTAAACATTCATTGCAGGCCGTGGTGCCACAGGCTTGTAATCCCAGCACTTGGGAGGCTGAGGCAGGAGGATTACAGTGAGTTCCAGGCCAGCCTGGGCTATATACTAAGTTCAAGGCCAGCCTGAACTACATAGTGAGACCCTATCTCAAAAAACAAAACAAAACAAAATTCATGGTCATACATTTTGGTCCCACTTTCTATATACTGACTTTCTTCCTTGATGGTTTCCACACCCCTACCTCCACACTGAGATCCCTTCTGCCCTTGCAAAGCCTTGCAAAGCCTGAAGTCCTGCCTCTCCTCCCTGTGGCACAGCCGCAGAGTGAGGTGTACCCGGCTTTCCAGCTTCCTCCCTCTAGCAACCTCTGCAGAGGGAGCCTGAGGACTTCTTGGACAAGGTTGACTAAAGTCAGTGTTTGAGGAAGGAGTGCACCATGAGTCCCCAAGTCACTTTTTTCCCCTTTGTTGATCTAACCAAACCGCATTGTGCATGATCCTTACAGAAATCCCATCATAAAAGTGTGGGTTGCTGGGGGCTTCCAGGAAGATTTTCACCTCACTAATGCTGTGACCTAGGTGCATCCCTGAGTCTCCAAGGTGGTTGATCTCCCAAAACAAAACCAAGAAAGCCATGAGGATCATTAAGCACATCGCTAAGAAAAATGGAAAATCAATGCCAGCTTCTCTTCAGGTGAGCCCAGGGTCTCAGGTATCAAATCAGAGAGCAGCTGTGGGGAAAGTAGGGCACACCAGTAATGCCAGCAGAGGGGCCACCTCCCCACCGCTCCGCCTACCAGTGGGGAGATTTAATAAATGGGATAAATGCAAGATTTGTTGTTCCTGGGAGAATATTTTCCTCATGTGTCAAACATTGAACTCAGAGAGAACCAAAAACCTTCTGCAACTTGAGATTTTGCTGACCACTGTTTCTCACAGCCCATGTACTCTCAGGTCAGAATCCTGTATCCATAACACAATTGAACACAAGTAATTTCTTAGCACTTTAAATATTTTGGGTAGGAATTGTTTCAAAATGTTCTAAGTGATCACCTACCTTCTTAAACAGAAGTGAGCTACGGAGGTATCCTTTTATGCTAGGGTTTGTGTTCTGCCTTTAGTAGATCTCATCACTTTGAACTCAAAAGTTTTCATCTGACAGGAGCTAGAAAGGAGAAAATGAAGCATATTAGAAAATTATGGGACGGTAAGAGTAAATTTCTTGTGAATGAGGATCTAAGATAGGTTAGCTGTAAGAACTTGAGGTTTTCACAGTACTTAGGATGAGGGCTTTGGACTCACAGGCCTTTTCTTCACTTCACACTTCTGAATGATATTTTCTTTGTCAATAAAGACTTAGGATGGCTCTGACTCTTGGGTTTTGGATTCTTGCAGTGAATGGCTAGGACCTCAGTTACAGGTGAATCATTATTTTGCCAAAGGAAAGGACCTGAAGTTTCAGCTATGCGAACAACCTGCTATTTCCACAGTCTTGTTTGTGCCCCATTCATTTGAACACCATCACCTGTTACAACTTCACCACCTAGTGACTGCATCCTTCCAGAGCAAGACTCCTCAGATGTTACTGTCCATGCCCATGTCACATGGGGACTTTGTGAAAATGCAAATTCCAATCAGTCTGTCTCTGATACTTTATTTCTAACAACCTCTGGGCAGTGCCCATGCTGGTCTGAAATCAAGGGCCCAGGCCTAATCCTCCGGCCTGATGGGCCTCAAAAGGGGCTATCTGGTGGGAGGTTGGGGACCAGCTGTTTCATCCTTAGCCTCCAAGGTCCTGTGTCTGTGCCTCAGTGACACCACACTGTGCCACCCTACTTTAGACATGTGCCATGAACTACCCAAACTTTCCATATTCAAGCTCCTGTTCTGTAAAATGAGGTGAAAAAAGTAGATCCTAACTTCTGGGATTTTTGTAAAAATGAAGTATGTGGTTAGTGTCAGGCAGGGCACACAATGGGCACTTGGTAAGTATGAGGTGTTCTTGCTGTACCCCATAAGACCCTGGTACCACTGCTCCATAGACAAAGCCACTCTTGCTGTGTCTTTTCTCAGAGCCTCAGAGCAGATGAAGAAGCTGTTGAGAAGTTGAATCCTTCATTTCTTGACTTGGTCAGAACCCCTCAGATAAGGAAACACACTTTGATCTTGATGTACAACTGGTAAGTCATTGTTTGATTTTGCTTTAAAATCACTCCGAATTTATTTATTCACAGTCATCCACATTCAGGGAATGAACAAGGGTGCCTCAAAACAATCTAATGCCAGACTTGGCAATGACAGAGGACAGCAGTGGTAGCAGGTTTCCTTGATCACATTTCTCTCAGACAGACGTGGCAGTCAGCTCACAGTCCCTACATGAAGATCACAGTGGTCTTGACCTCAGTTTCCCTTTAGAATCACACAGGAGGGCTGAGGATTTAACTCAATGGTTCCACCACCTGCCCCGTAAGACCAAAGACCCAAGTTTGATCCCTGGTACCAAAAAAAAAAAAGACATAGAATAACACAGGAGATTATAAAACTCATTTAAGTGGTCTAGAGTAAGGCTCAGTAACCAAAAAATTTTTGAATTCTGGTGATTCTAATATTTAGGCACTATTGGTATACATACATGAGAACTATTGGTATACATTAGTTGAAGATAAGCATAAATCTCTGCAATAAATAACAGGTCTGATAGGAAAGGAAGAAAAAAATAAACTTATGAGATATGGTCAAAACTATGGTGAATGTTTAAATTTAAAAATTTATTACAGTAAAAGATACATTAACTCCATTCATCATGGATTAATATGATGAATGGCACAGGGCTAACAAGAAAAGGGCCTTTCCTTTTTATTTTATACCTGGAGAAAAAAACAGACTGATGAACACCAGTACTCCAGTAGCTGCACAGCCCAGCACCGTGAGCTTCACTGTGCCACCCTGGCTGCTCACGGTCACTCCCAGAGCCCAGAGCCCAGAGCTGCTCACTCACCACAAGTCGTCCCTTCCTGGTGAGGTAGCATTAGCTTGGCGAGCCTGGCATCACGAATAGGCCACACAAACCGCTGATCTTGCTGACAAAGGCGAAGCTCATCACAATTCTGCGTGGAAAAGGCAGCCTTGAGATCTGGCCTCACTCTCTTTCCTTTTCGGAATAACTGTGACTCTTTCTGATCATCCTCATATTTTCCCATTACATATAATGACTGTCTTAGGTAATCAAAACTGGAGGGAGACATTGTCAGAATGTTTGCATCAGGCCAGAAGAAAAATTATCAAGAAGGAAATTGGTACCTCTTTGGTCTTGTTTCCTGAAATTTGAATTATGTATGAATCCATTTGATCCAATGCTTTAGAAGACTACAAACAATTCACAGTCACTGATACCTTGACATAGTTTTCTGAGTAAATCGCTCTGTGAAGACATTCTTCTTGGCTTTCTGTTTATCCAGGGAATGCTGTCCTAATTGTTTCTGTGTGCCTGGGTCTTGGGTCATAGCCAGCCATCGAAGTGAACCAGCTAATGTTTAAGTGATGGAACAGAGAGGACAGCAGTGAGGTCACAGGGAAGGGTCATCTACCATCAACTCCATTTCTGTCAGAAGCCTCTTTTTTGGGTGGTGTATGTTCGGTCCTCCACTTGACCTTGGCTCTCTCTCCGCTCAGGTTCACGAGCTCTGTTCTTTACCAGGGCCTTATCATGCACATGGGCCTCGCAGGGGGCAATATCTACCTGGATTTCTTCTATTCTGCCTTGGTTGAATTCCCAGCAGCCTTCATCATCATCTTCACCATTGACCGAATTGGTCGCCGTTATCCCTGGGCTGTGGCAAATATGGCAGCAGGGGTGGCCTGCCTAGCTTCAGTTTTTATCCCTGATGGTAAGTTTCTGGCCAAGTGGGGGTCTTGTCCCAAAGGCCTTTAGAGGAAGTATCAGAACCTTTTAATAGAAAAACCATGCAATTTCTCATCCAGATGATTTGGAAAGACAGCATAATGTCTAGGATCATCCTGAGCAAACATGTCCTCAACAATTACATATACACAATTGTGCCCCAGTATGACAGCACAAAAGCAGCTGTGAAAATCTGAATACAGGCCATAGAGCCAGCCTAGAGCATAGAGCATGGGTTCTGGGGAGAACACTGTAGAGCTTAAGTATCATTGTAGAATTTTCCAGGAAAGTCTCTTCACTTCTGTGCATCGTCCTGCAAAATAAATCAGAAAACTTATATGCCATCAATAAACAATTATTCTTTCTGTATGAAATGATTCTGATGGCAGGGAGCAAAAGCCTATGAAATAGAATCCTTTCAGCTATGTGGAGCTTTGTCCAAACACTTCATTGCATAGCAATTACTGAAAGTATGCTCATATTTTGGTGTTCCTCTGGGGTGACCTCTATAAGGTTATCCTAGCTTAGGAAATATTATAATTTTGTGTAGTTAACAACTGAGGCCTAAAGATAAGGGAGTCTTTGAAGCAAAACTATGGAGGCAGGGAAAAATCAATGGTTGCTGGGAATTGGTGGGGAGTTGAACAAGTGGAGAACAGAGGATTTTGAAGGCAGTAAAAATTCTGTGTGATATCACAGTGGTGGATACATTTCATCATACATTGGTCCAAACCATAGAATGGTCACTACCAAAAGTGACTCCTAATGTAAATTGTGGACTGTGGGTGACTAGGATGTATCATTATCAGATCACGATTGTAACAAATGTGCCACTATGAGAGGTGTATTGATAATGGGAGAGGGAGCATACATGTTAGGGCCGGAGGGAAATGAGGAATCACCATAATTTAATCTTATTTTTGCTAAGAACCTAAAACTACTTTTTTAAAAATGAAGCCTTGGGCCTGGGGTTTAGCTCAGTCACACTGCACCTGCCTCTTAAGCACAAGGTCCTGAGTTCAATCCCCATTACCAGAAAAACATAAATAAATAAATAGATTAAAATGAAGTATTTTTTAAAAGGGACAAGATATTAGGATCCCCTGGGAGACTAAAACAGACAGAATATTTGCTGCTGTTGCCTTGCATCTGTAGCAGTACTGCTCTGGCTTCCCATTTCATCCTGGAACCCAGATTTTCTCTGAACAAAGCCCACTCAGGAACGCTGTTTGAAAATGAGGGATCGCGTGCCACCTACAGAAGAGCTGTGCTTTTCCCCCTCAGATCTGCAGTGGCTAAAAGTCACCATCGCGTGCTTAGGTAGGATGGGAATCACGATGGCCTTCGAAATGGTTTGCCTAGTCAGTGCTGAATTGTACCCTACATTCATTAGGTGAGTATGAGGGGCGGCTGGAACCCTTGTTTTGGGGCTAGAACCACTGCAGTGCAGGCAGAGGCACCTGTCTTAGCTATTTTCCTGTTGTTGAGACAAAATACTCACCTGAAACTTAAAGTAAGACAGATTTGTTTGGACTCACAGTTTCAGTCCATGGTTGCCAGGCCCCAAGGCAGAAACAGGATGGAAGAGGGGCAGGGCAGAGGAAAAGGTGCTCAGCCCATGACACCCAGGAAGCAGAGAGAGAAGTGAGGAGCCAGGGACACACCAGGTCACACCCCCAGTGGGCCACCTCCAACAGGCCCAACCTTCTAACAGCATACTCACCTATGAACTCATCAAGGGGTAGATTCACTGATGAATACGGCACCCCCAAGATTAGTTACCTTCCATGTGCATGAGACTTTGGGGGACATTTTAGATCTAAACTATAATGGCACCCCAATTTCCAAGCACAGTAGGAAAAGGGAGGATGCTCAGAGGCAGCAGCTGGGGCCAGTGACTCACACCTCATGCTTTCAGTGAAGGGGCAAAGTCCAGAGGCTTTAGTGGGAACAGAAGACATGGAATCACAGGAGAGGGACCTCCAGGCGCTCCATGAGACAGTGACTGGAACAGCACAAGTGGGTCCCTAGAAATGTCACTGAGAGGCCAGGTGATGGGATTTTGAGATAAGGTCTTACTAAGTTGCCCAGGCTGGGCTCAAACTTGTGATCCTCCAGTCTCCACCACTCAGAGTGTTGGGGTTACAGTCATAAACCACCTGGCCCAGCTTGAGGAAATATTTATTTGGAGGTGGGAGATAACTGCTGCCTTGTGGTAAGTCAAAAGTCATATTGAGTTCCTACGTTTTAGGAATCTTGGCGTGCTTGTCTGTTCCTCAATGTGTGACATTGGTGGCATCCTCACGCCTTTCCTGGTCTACCGCCTCACGGATGTCTGGCTGGAGCTCCCACTTGTGGTGTTCGGTGAGAAATCCCATCAACAGCCTCTGAACAGAACACTATCTTTTTGAAACCTCCATTTCTCCACCTCAAAATAGATAGCATGCTCATTGGTAACTACTAATTACTAGTAGGTAGCAATATTATTGATAGTACTACTTAGTAACACTAGTATTTCTAATACTACTAGTCTCTATTGATACCCAAGTATGAACTCATGTTTCACAAGGACAGAGTTCAAGGAGAGTGAGTGGGAAGGACGTTTCTCTCCAGTCCCCTCTTTCTAGATGTCCACCCCGACCCATCTCCAGCTCAAAGGCACTAAAATACACAAACTTTTTGTTTCATTACTCCAAAGGAAGGTGGTTAAATTTTTGCAAAAGTCCATTTCAGAACCCAGAGGAAACAAAATCCACAATTAAGAAAATGCACCAAGCCAGGTACAGTGGCACTTTCCTGTAATCCCAGCACTCTGGGAGGCTGAGGCGGGAGGTTTGCAAGTTCAAGCTGAGCCCAGGCAACTTATTCATTTAGCAAGACCCTGTCTCAAAATAAAAAAGGGTCTGGGGATGTAGCTCAGTATGAAGTCCCAGCACCCCCCCCCAAAAAAAGAATGAAAGAAAAGAAAAAATGCATCAGTGTAATGGGGCACTTGTGGCAACTATGTAGCAGTGGTCCCAGCCCCAATTACTCAGGGTTATTGGATTCCAGGAGAGTGGTGCAGCAGTTCCTCTTCTGCCACTGCTAGCAGTGTCAAGGACAGGATTCAATGTAAAAGCCCTGAGTCTACTCCACCCTTCCCCACCTGCAGGACAGAGGCAACGGGTACTGTCTCTCTACCACTGAGCGAGAAGTCTGAAGGGACCCACTGGGCACTTCCATTCCACTCCATCCCTTGTCTTTTCCCACTGGGACAGGTGTTCTGCTGGGTGTCCCAGACACCTGAGGTGTGACTGCTGGTTCAGATTTATGCACACATATTTGCCTGTTCCAGGTAACTGAACCCCTCAGTGCACCCAGTTTAGTCTCCTGTAAGACTCCCTCTGAGCCACTTTCCATTTGAATAGACACCACTTTTCCTGGTGTGTGCAGCACTGACACCACTGGGAGGAGGACAGGATCAGAGGATCTGTGCTACAGGTGCACACCGGAAGCACCCACTTCTGCCACCCCTGCTGCATGTTGGCCCCACACCCAGCTCAGTTCATTCCTTCCCTCTTCTTCTCGAGGAATTCGTGAGGTAGAAATTTTCCACTGTCGTAGATCTGCCAGCAAAAGTTCTAAGCAGACCCAGTGAATTCTTCTACATCCTACTCTAACAGATGGTCAAATAGTAATACACAAACTTTTTATCCCGAGGTTGTCAGGGTTTTGTTCCCAGAGTTGCTGGCACTGCTGATGGGGACTTGTTTCCCAAAGTTCACTCTCCCCCAACCCCAGCAGGGGGAACCTGTCCCCAGCCCTTTCCTCTTAAGGAAGTACCTGGAGCTGCTCTGAACTCCAACCTTGTGGGAGGAAGTTAGGGACATCTCAACCTCGGCTGCACCCTTAGGGGCACCCAGTTACTGAGGGCTCAGCAGGGTATTTCTGGGTAGTAAATAGCTACCTCATGTTTTCATGCCCACTATTTAACAGAGCAACGCCAAGCCCAGCTAAGAGATTATAGCAGCATTTCAACAGTCAACATTAACTCAAAGACAATCCCAACTTTATTTTTGCAAGTAGTTTTATCTTCTTCCCTTATCAACTTCACTCTGGGAGCAGTAGGAAGCACAACTAATAGTTTTGCATTTGAGCTTCTTTCTCTTTTCCATGCAATACTCCTAACAAGCTTGTGAGGTACCTCCTAACAAGCTTGTGAGGTACTAGTATACTGTCCCATGTGGCAGAAGGGATTCAGAGGGGCAGGACAACAACAGGACCTCCCATGGTTCTCAGACCAGTGAACTGTGGACTTGAAATAGTTATAGGAGCTGGGCGTGGTGGTGCACATCTGTAATCCCAGCATGCAAGAAGCTGAGACAAAAGGGTTGCCATAAGTTTGAGGCTAGCCTGAGCTACATAGTAAGCTCAAGGCCTATCTAGACTACAAAGTGAGATTCTACCTCAAAAAAAAAAAAAAAGGAGAGAGAGAGATCTAAGAAGCCTAAAAATCAACACATCAGAAAATTCTGCTTCAAAGAACACTGGAAAAATGGCTAATGGTTATCCCGGGTAGTTAGGCTTATATTTGCAAATGTAAAATGGTAAATAGGTGATAATTTGATGAGTCTATTCATCAAAGTTCATTCATTTCAGAGCTTCATTACATTACAATACAATCATTTAATTACAATGCAATCGCCAAGTGAATCTGGAAGGTTTGAAAGACTTATAGCAGCAAATTATTTAGTAACCATGACTGTGGTTCATATCATGAGCCAGGCATTATCCTAAGTGCTTTACAAATACTCATTCCAGCCCCCACAAGCTTGTAAGGTAGTATATTGGCCAATGTGGCAGAAGGGAATCAGAGAGGCAAGGCCACTGCCCAACCTCCCAAGGCTGTCAGGCCAGGGAAGAAGCCAGAGTCAGACTCAGGCGTTCAGTGCTGGGGCTTGTGCCTGAGACACCCTGCTTTGTGTCATCTAGTTATTGCCACCATTTCTTGAGGGCACAGACGGAGTCCAGCACGCAGTGCTTGGAAATCCCAAGCCCCACTTCCTGCATTCCATTATGGAAACAACATATCAAGATTTAACTTTAAAAGACCAAAAATTTATCAGAATATAAAGAAATAAAAATGTCAACACAGTTGTTATTAAAAATTATAACTAGAGACAAAGAAAAAGGAACAACAGGGATTTGGCAAGCACCTATATTTGAACTAAATGGCCTCACTATAGTTTTTAATACTATTATGGAATAATACTTTCATTAATTTGCTAGTAAAGGTCCTAGTTTTCTGACATATTTTCATTACTAAGTGCTTTATGTTGGCAGGATTATATTCTGCCTTTTCATACAGTTAGGTTTTTTTTCAGTTCTTTTCTAACTCCAAAGTGTCTTAATATTGTGGCAATGTCCTCTAGTCTAGAATAACCTTGACTCAAAATGTTAAGTATTTCATTTCTCTAAAAGGAATTGTAATCCAATGGTGTTTGGAATTGGCATAATATTTATGATGGAAAATAGGGCAGAGATGGCCAAAGAATCTATAAATAAGTATAGGAAAATAGGAGGGTGGGAGGGAGCTCTGATTATAGAGCTTGCTTTCTAATGTGATTTGCATCCGTTTGTCTTTGCAGCTGTGGTTGGCTTGGTGGCCGGTGGACTAGTGTTGTTGCTCCCAGAGACCAAAGGGAAGGCTCTGCCTGAGACCATTGAGGACGCTGAAACCATGCAGAGGTAGGGAGTTGAGATTCCTAAATGAAACACTCAGTAAATGTTTTGGGAGAACTCTGTATCCAGTTGGAGAGAAAGATGAGGTTGAATTCAAACCTTGTATCATACAATGAGATAAATTCAAGCTAAATCAAAGATGAAATTGGAAAAAAGAAACAGTAAAATAATGAAGATACCTTTATACCTTCATAATGAGAAAGGTCTTTGTATATATGTCTAAAAAAATTCAAACTCATAAAAGAAGGATCAATAGTTTGCATTCACAAATTTTTTCAAAATCTGCATTGAAAACCTAGAGCAAGTTAAAATTAAAATGACAAACTTACAGAAAGTATTTAAGCCTCTATAAAGGGCTAATTTCCTAAAAGTACAAAGACTCCTAACCATTCCATGAAGACAGCCACAAAAAAGAAAAGGTAGACAAAGGACTTAAGCAACTAATTCAGTGAAAAGGAAATAAAAACAACTCTTAAATATAAGAAAATATGCTCAACCTCCTCCATAATCAGAGATGTACAAATTAACACTGCATTAATATTTACTTTATTGCCGAAGATCAAAGTACCTGGACTATAAACTGTGTTGGGAAAGAATGTGGGAAACCAGCAGCCTCCTACATTGCCAGTAAGAAAACAAACTTGATACATCCATCATGCTCAATGTGATGATAAGGTCATATAATAAATGCATATATCCTTTCACCTAGCAATTCTACACTTCTAGGAATTTACATGTGCAAAATACATGTGTAGAGAATTGATCATTAAAGCATTATTATGTAACAAAAGATTGGGAACAACCCAAGTGCCCATCAGTTGAGAGAGCAGTTAAATATGATATGCCATTCAATGAAATACTACACAGCCATTTTGAAAAATGAGTCAGTTTTAGGTACACTGATAAGGAAAGTTCTCCAAGATGTATTGTTAATGGAAAAAAAGGCAAAACATGAAAAAATATGTGTTCTACCACTTGTAAATATACTTAAAATACATAAACATAAAAAATAATTGAAAATAAAATGGTAAAAAAATAAAACTGATATAGATATAGTAATCCTCACTTATCCATAGCTTTGCTTTATACAGTTGCAGTTACCCATGGCTCATCTATTGCAGTGTGAAAACATTAAATGGAAAATTGCAGAAATAAATAATTTATGAATTTCATATTGTACTGTTTTGAGTAGCACTATAAAATCTTGTACCACACTTCTCATGATGAAGTATTGCACCATTATGCTAATCACCCCTTAGAGTATCTGTGCTACATAGTCTACCCTCCCGTTAGTAACTCAGCAGGCATATCAGTTATCAAACGGAGGGCTGAGGGTATAGCTCAGGGGTAGAGCACTTGAGTAGCAGACATGAGGCCCTGGGTTCAATCCCCAGCACTGAAAAAATGTACTCTCAATTCTCAAATGGATTGTCAAGGTCACACCATACTCTTATCCAAATAATCTTTATTTTACTTAAAAATGATCACGAAGTACAAGAGTAGTACTGCTGGTAACTGAGACATGCCAAAAAGAAACTACAAAGTATTTCTTTTAAGTGAAAAGGTGAAAGCTCTTAATATAGTAAAGAAAGGAAAAAAATATTTATGCCGCAGTTGTGAAGAGCTTCAGTAAGAATGCATCTCCCACTATACCTAATTTATAAGTTAAACTTTAACATAGGAATGTGTGTATGAGAACATAGCATGCATTTATGGGATGCAATATTACCAGGCATCCACTGGGGTCATGGAATGTGTCTCCCCAAGGTTTAAGGGAACTACTCTGTGTGTGTGTGTGTGTGTGTGTGTGTGTTTGTGCGCTCACATGTGTGCCTATCTCTTAAAAATGTGCAAGAACCATAACACTGGCTGTCTGGAACTTGGTGACTATAGGATATAGACAACAGGAAGACTTTTCTAGACATAAATTTTTGTATACTCTGAATTTTGAAACACAAGAAACCTTTTCAAAAAGTGAACTAAAAAATCTAAATATAGAAACCTATATCACACTCTCTCCATGAGTTTGTTTATATGATCTACTTAAATCTTTGTTTTTTTAAACTTTGTCATCTCCACTTTGGATCCATTGATGCCATGAGCTAAACTGAATTTCATCATTCTACAAACCCTTCGCATTTAACACATTGGGTACTTCAGCAAAATGTTGCTGAATTGCAGTGCTCTGAGGCTTTTCCTAGAACTGATCTTTGAATTAAAAGAGGCCTTTTAACTCAGCCTGAGTTAGCCCATAGAACACCAAGTACTCAAATGCTTTGTTTGGCCAACACAATATTTTTTGAAGTGGAAAATTCCACATAAAGGGGACTTCCAGGATCTGTTAGAAAATGGATTTGGGAATACTGAGCAGGCATTTCCTCTTGCTGACAATTTGTGGGAGCTGAGCAGTGGCTCTGCTCTTTGAAGAACTTGCCCTCTGAGGTAGGCTACAACCCCTACCATTCTCTTATTGTCCTGGGCCGGGTATATCTATATTACTTGCCTGGCTGAGAAGGACATCTGAGTTTGAAGCCCTTAATCTAGACTACCTCTCCTCTCTCTTATCTCAACGTACCTTCCTGTGCATGTGAGCACCTAGTTCTGAGGACAGAGATTCTGTCCTGTGTATGTCGTGTCACACCCAGAGCAGAAGCTTCCCAGATAGCTGTAGAATGAATCTTGCAGCCTTGCTTGGCATTGAGAATTAAAGTCCTTCTGAGTTTTCCCCAGCAGCTCTGATGTCAGGCAGGCAGTCCCACCTGGCGAGGAGGAGCACGACCATAGAGTCTAACCATCCACGCTCACATTTTCCATCTGTGGGGCCTGCCTCAGAGTCTTCATGTGTACTGTAAATGGGGACAAGAGTACCACTCCTTGGATTTTCATAACCATTAAATGAGACAATGCATGTACAGTTCCTGGTACTTAATAAATGTCCAAGAGCCACTGCTATTCTTCAGTGAAGTTTTGATAGCTGTTCTATAAAATAACAAAACACATACTGAGACTATTCCTTAGAAATTGAATTTTAGGGGCCGGGGCTTTAGCTCAGTGGTGCCGCGGCCTGCCTTGCAAGCACAAGGTCCCGAGTTCAATCCCCAGCACCAAAAAAAAAAAAAAAAATTGAATTTTAAGGGTGTTGTTTTGAGACAAACAATGCAGCTCAGTGACATGTACACACACACCTACATGTGTCAGAGTTCTCAGTTCCCACCAGGCTGGCTTAAAACAGGCTGAAGAGACATTCCCAAGAATTGCAGCTATTGTTATTTTGAGTGCTTTCTAGCTAAGGTAGCTACAAATAATATGCCTATAAAGATTTTCACTTTACTTTTTCTATATCATATAACCCAATTTGCTGGTCACTGAGACAGCTCTGTGAGAGGCCTGGGGACTGCAGGAAGAGTGTGCAAAGTATGGGCCAAAACAGCTGTGGGAGGGTTCACCTGCAGATTGCAGGCAAGAGGCAAACCATGGTTGGCACTGAGAGCAGACGCCAGGTTCAATGCCCCAGGGACAGAGAACAGGGCAGTCTGGGGTCTCTCTCCTGCACACCCAGGGTGTGTGGCTCCTGAGAATACTAGGCCCAGTCTAGTTACAAACACACCCTGTGTGGTTAGTAACGTGCCCTGGTCTCCCCTCTGACCCTATTCCCTTTTCTGTGAAATGAGAACAATGGCTGAGCTCTACTCAACTACTATTCTCCAAGGCCTTCTCCCCTCACACTCATTTCCTTGCTTAGTCCTTGCTACAACCCTAAGAAATAGGTGTTATTAGTAACCCTACTGACAGCTGCAACCAATGCAGGCATGGAGAGATTAAGGGACTTGTCTGGAATCACATCATCAGTAAGTGACGAAGCCAAGGATCCAATCCAGCCTGACACATTCCATGGCCCACACAACCTCCTCACACTGTGAAGGCTAGGTCCACACATGGAGCAAGCAGCCAAGTACTTATACAGTGCAGAGCATCTTACTTACTTTTCTCTCATTGCTGAGACAAAATACCTGACATCTAAGGTTAAAAGAGGAAAGGGTTTTTTTAGCTCGAAGTTTGCAGAGGTTTCAGCTCATAATCGGCTGCCTCCAGGGCAGAGTGGCACATCACAGAGGGGCAACAATTCATGGAAGCTGACAGGGGTAGCAAAACAACAAGGGAATTTAACAGTATCTTTCTGCCCCTTTAATCTTATCCAGACTACTTAGGGCAGGTAGGACTCACACCCTTAATCCTACTGCCCCTGAGCCTAGCACTCCACCATGAATCAGTCACACACTCTAGATTCAACCACTCTGAAAAAGCCCCACCTACAACTGCATGAGGATTTGGGGGACCTTTAGACACAAGCCATAACAAGGAGCTTCTAGGCTGTAGCTGTTGCTACTGCTACTGCTACTGTTGTGTTGTTGATGTTTCTGTTGCTGCTGTTTCATTGCTGTTGCCGCTGATGCTATTGCTGGTGCTGCTATTGTTGATGCTGTAACTAGTGCTGCTATTGTTGATGCTGCTTTGGTTGGTGCTATGCTGTTATTGCTACTATTGTTGGTGATGCTGGTACTGTTGCAGTTGTTGATGCTGTTGGTGGTGTACTATTGTTAATACAACTATTGGTGGTGCTATTGTTCCTGAAACTATTATTGATGCTGTTGTTGCTGTTGCTGATATTCCTGATATTGTTGTTGCTTATTGTTGCTGCTGCTTTTGTTTTTTATGCTATTAGTGATAGTGCTATTTTTGTTGATACTGTTGATGCTGTTGTTGCCTCCATTGTTATTGCTGCTGTCTTCCCTGGTGCTACTGCTACTGTTGCTGTTACTGGTATCATTGCTACTGTTACTGTTATTGTCACTGCTGCTCTTGTTGTTGATATTGCTGTTGGTGGTGGTACACTTGCTGCTGCCATTGTTCATGCTGCTGTTGTTACTGCTATTCCTGGTGTTATTGCTACCATTGCTGATGGCAGTAATTGTGGTGGTAGCAGTGGTGGTAATACTGCTGTTGTT